GATCTGCACCGCTGCTGGGTGCCCGGGGAGGATGATCCGCCTCGCTGCTGCGGGGGGTGCCCGTGGTAAGGTCCGTGCTGCTGGTAGAGATGGGAAGATCTGCACCGCTGCTGGGTGCCCGGGGAGGATGATCCGCCTCGCTGCTGCGGGGGGTGCCCGTGGTAAGGTCCGTGCTGCTGGTAGAGATGGGAAGATCTGCACCGCTGCTGGGTGCCCGGGGAGGATGATCCGCCTCGCTGCTGCGGGGGGTGCCCGTGGTAAGGTCCGTGCTGCTGGTAGAGATGGGAAGATCTGCACCGCTGCTGGGTGCCCGGGGAGGATGATCCGCCTCGCTGCTGCGGGGGGTGCCCGTGGTAAGGTCCGTGCTGCTGGTAGAGATGGGAAGATCTGCACCGCTGCTGGGTGCCCGGGGAGGATGATCCGCCTCGCTGCTGCGGGGGGTGCCCGTGGTAAGGTCCGTGCTGCTGGTAGAGATGGGAAGATCTGCACCGCTGCTGGGTGCCCGGGGAGGATGATCCGCCTCGCTGCTGCGGGGGGTGCCCGTGGTAAGGTCCGTGCTGCTGGTAGAGATGGGAAGATCTGCACCGCTGCTGGGTGCCCGGGGAGGATGATCCGCCTCGCTGCTGCGGGGGGTGCCCGTGGTAAGGTCCGTGCTGCTGGTAGAGATGGGAAGATCTGCACCGCTGCTGGGTGCCCGGGGAGGATGATCCGCCTCGCTGCTGCGGGGGGTGCCCGTGGTAAGGTCCGTGCTGCTGGTAGAGATGGGAAGATCTGCACCGCTGCTGGGTGCCCGGGGAGGATGATCCGCCTCGCTGCTGCGGGGGGTGCCCGTGGTAAGGTCCGTGCTGCTGGTAGAGATGGGAAGATCTGCACCGCTGCTGGGTGCCCGGGGAGGATGATCCGCCTCGCTGCTGCGGGGGGTGCCCGTGGTAAGGTCCGTGCTGCTGGTAGAGATGGGAAGATCTGCACCGCTGCTGGGTGCCCGGGGAGGATGATCCGCCTCGCTGCTGCGGGGGGTGCCCGTGGTAAGGTCCGTGCTGCTGGTAGAGATGGGAAGATCTGCACCGCTGCTGGGTGCCCGGGGAGGATGATCCGCCTCGCTGCTGCGGGGGGTGCCCGTGGTAAGGTCCGTGCTGCTGGTATCAGGGCAGCTGCAGGACTCACTCCTGGCCCCCCTGGGGGCTCCCCCCCCCGCTGTCCAGCAGCAGTTGGGGCCCAGCCTGTATCAGTCAGTAGCAAACTTCCTGGATGGCTCCACCCCACCCCAGCTGGCAATCACCAAAGACAGCACCATGTAGCACATCAACCATCCTGTTAGTCTTCAATTCGGTGATGAGCTTTCATGGGCCAGACCCACTTCCTGGCTACGTCTAGACTGGCATGAATTTCCAAAAATGCTTTTAAAGGAAAAGTTTTCCGTTAAAAGCATTTTGGGAAAATAACGTCTAGATTGGCAGGATGCTTTTCCACAAAAGCACTTTTTGCGGAAAAGCGTCCATGGCCAATCTAGACGCGGTTTTCCGCAAAAAAGCC